AAGCTTTCGAAAGTCTTTCTAAAGCAAGCTCCCCTGAGAAATTCATACATAAAAAACAATTTGTATAAAAAAGACGATAAGAAAAGGCTGATCGGAATACTTTACAACATTTTGGCTCCAGAAGTAAGTTAAAAAACTTAGTTGTTAATAAATGTTATTTTAACGATAACGATAATTGTGCTTTTTTTAAACGTTTCTCGCCAGTATCTAAAAATGTTTTAGGGTCGATAAGTAAAAAAAAGAAAAAGCTTTAATTTTGAGAACAGCTAGACCTCAGAATACTAATTATGAAAAATTGAACAGTTAGTAAAGCAACAAAGTCTTGTTTTGATTAAGCTATGAGAAAGAATACTATACAAAGAAGAAAAGTAGCAGAATAACACCTGCATCGAGAAGTCAAAATTATTACCAAGCTTGTACACTTTTTCTTGTACCAAAAAGGGTTTTCTTGGGCTACAGTACTACTTTTTTCCTCTTAATGCCTCACCTGGCACAATATTTTTTGTTTCAAGTTTGAACGCGCTAACTAATTGATCCTTTATTACTGAGCAAAATGCAACCATTTCATTTAGCTCATTTCTCTTTTTCTTCCTTGTTCGGGTCTGAGCGTTTTGAAGCTAGAGTGGACCTCTTACCACAGCAGTCAGATTAACCAGCAAATTCTCTTATTTGTGATTGTTTTATAGCAATGGTCTAGAAGTAAAGCAAATAATTCCTTTGTGCTTTTGTAAAAAAAGTTCTTGAGAATAAATTGTGCGGAATTGTTGAGCCAAAATTTGAAGTTGCCAGTTCCGTTGTTTCTCAAATCATAAATCAGGTAAATCTTGTTGTTGACGATAAAGAACATAAAATAAAGCAACAAAAAAGTTTCTCAGAATTTAAAGAACTTCGCAAGCAAAAGTTTCATTATACAAGAAGTTTAAGCACTAAACTATCTCAAAATATGAAGTAAAGATTGTGCTTTTCCTAAAGATAAAGAAACCTTATAAGCAGAAAACTTTTAAAAAATTTTTTAAAAATTGTATTGTTGGCATTTATATGAAAAATTACTGTGAACTGTTCCTAACCCACTGCAGTTATTAGATCGAATAAAAACAATAAAGACGCTGAACTGAAATAAAGTTGTCAAAGCTGTTTTAAATTCGGAATTAATTTTAAAAAAGACTTTCTGAACCAAACGATTGGTATTTCTAAACTGAAATTTTACTGAATCTTAGACTCAAATTACTTAACTAATATTCCTTAGAGCAGAATACTTCTATTTCAATTTGAGGTTCTTTGCCCACTGAAAGTTAGATTGGGAGGTATTCAAGACGGCGGAAAGTGGATATGCAATCCTTGGAAAGTACCAAAGCAAAACTGCAGTGTCTATTCTCTTGGGGTTGGTGGTGACATCAGTTTTGATCTTCATTTTCAATCAGTGACTAGCAAGAGCTGCAGACTTCATGCCTACGACGAGGCTGGTTCTTACTTTTTAGTTTTTTGCTAAACATGTCTGGTTTTAATCGATAATTGTTTGCAAACTGAAGAGAGGAATATAAATCCAAAAACTTCATTTATTAAGCAGATGTAATTTTTTTCGTTTTAGTCAAATCAAAACAAAGCGCTTATTGATCGTTTACATGAAAATAACGCAGACTTTAAAAAAGCTCTAATTGGAATTGAACTGAATGAACAAAAAAATCAGTATGATATATTGACGTTGGCAAAGGAGAATGGCGACAAAAAAATTGAAATTTTGAAAATGGATCTTGAAGGTTTCATTCTTTATCAGAGTTATTAGAACAGAACAAACTTCTCGCTCTCTCGCTCGTACCATTGAAAACTTTGACTTTGAAGTGTGTGGAATCTGGCAGCGCGATTCAGTTAATAAATTGACAGATTTTCATTGTTTCGTTAAGAAATCTCTTTTGTTGCCTTGAGTGCTTTATGCGTTGACGAAAAATATATACAAAAAGAACAATTTTTCAGGTCACTATCAAATGTTGCTTGTTTAGAAA